TCCGCCGGGCCCCGGCGCTCTGCCTTTCCAGACTTTCCCCTCCTACTCGGCGGCCAACGTCCTTTTCCCGGCTGCCGCCTCCTTCCCGCTGACGGCCCGCGTCGCCCCCGGGAGCCCCTTCGCGCCCTTCCTCGGGTCCTCCTACTTGACCCCTTTCTACGCCCCGCACCTATGAACCCGGAGCCCCTGGGGTCCCCACCTCGTCCGCTTTACGAGTGACTGGCATCGTCGTGTGGCCCCACTCCCCCGGAGGGGCGCCGGCGCGCGGGGACTGCCCCCTCCTGGCGCGCGGGTGTCTGCGCGCCCCTGCGCTCCCGGCTGCCGAGACGCCGCCAGGGGGCGGGGAGAAGCCGCTCCGGCGCCCGGACTCCAGGGCCACAAAGGGTCGAGGGTCTGGAGACGGAGGCCGTCCTCAAATCTTCCCGTCTCTGGACCTCGCTCTTCACTTTGGGTCAGGTTTAATTCAGCTCAAGGCCCCTTTGGAGGGTCTAGGGGGTTGGCGGGAGTAACGCAAGTGCCACGGAGACACGAGGGAGCCAGGACGCCCTGCCCGCCCGCTGCTTACACCTAGGATGGAGTCTCCAAAGATTCCAGCTCAGAGGGTGAGGAGCGACCCCTTGTCATAGCTGAGTGTTTCCCTCTTCATACCTGATTATCTGCCCGAACCAGCGATTGCTCCCAAATCGTGAACAAAGCCAGGGAGAGCTTGGTCCACGAGCACACACTGCCGCTGTGAAATGAACTTTTTTTTTCCTTTTTTTTTTTTTTAATGCATAAAACTCAGCATCTGTACATCTTCGTTTAAGATTCGGACTTGAGGGCGATACTTGTTCCACCCTTTTTTTTTTAATGCGTAAAACTCAGCATCTGTACATCTTCGTTTAAGATTCGGACTTGAGGGCGATACTTGTTCCACACAGACTGTCCACAGGTTATTCCTGAGAGAGCGGGTCCCTTATTTTTCCGAGTAGACCAGAGGTTTGTGGTAGGAAAGTTAACTCAGTCACAGGTCTGCTGCACTGCAGGTTTTGAGAACAGCTTGGACAAACCACATGCATAAAAATGTTGACGAAGACAGCCATGGTTCAACTCAGATCACGAAGTCTATGCATAAGGCTGTCTGCTTTGATTTGCAGTATTTCCTGCTTTAAAACTTCAGTCTTGACTAATCTATCCATCCCAGCGATTCCTGGGCTCCCAAATACTGAACCAAGTTGGGGGAGAGCTAGCGCCACCGGCGCACACCACCGTCATGAATCAGACTATTCTTAAAAGCACAAACTCAGCATTTTAAATCTTTGCCTAAGATTCTGACTCAAAAGCAACTCTTGTTCCAAACACACTTTCCTTGATGGTGAACAAGCAACAGATTGTAAGGGCTGTGAAAGAAATACTTCTTGAGTGTAAAGAGCTCTGGTAGAAGCCAAAACCGTGTTCATAATTGATTCAACTGCAGGAACTTAATACATGGACATGCATTCTAACTGCTGCTTTTATCATCTACCTTGGAAAATTAGTTTGTGCAACATTCCCTCGCCAGTTTTGTTTGGAATGCCTTCCTTTAGTGTTCTATGTAATATGGTCTTGTAGCCCACATCTCAGAAACCAAGATGCACACAACTGCAGTATATCATGTATGTTCATCCTCTCTTTGATTACTTGAGACCAGCTGATATCTATATGGGTACCACATTCCTTACTATTTCTTGGTAGCCTGTGCCATTAATAATTTAATGATCAATGGCTTCAAAGTAAAGGCACACTGTTCGGTATTATGAACACAGTATACTACTATCATCTTGAAATTTCTAGTTCTATTATTATCAGGGATGATAGAAAATATCCTCCTTTCTCCCAAATTAAAGATTTCATATTATCGTGACTCTCGTAAGATTTAAGAATATATATTGTTTAATTACGTATTATTTGCTAATTAGACTCTTTTTCTTCTATTGTAAACAAGAATGTCCCCAAACAACACATTATAACTTTCTAAAAGACAGTTGGTGCCGGATGAGATTAAAAATGCAGTTACTGTAATAGAGAATATTATGTTATTCACTTTACAAGCTGGTAAACACTCCTTCAGTAACTATTTGTTGGTTTCTCAAAAGCAACATTCCGTGCATATGAACAGGCAGTTCCAGTGCACAGAGGCAAGACCTAAGAGAAGAAACAGATTCTCTGGAATGAGTGGGAAATATTTCTTTCCAGTCCTCTCAGGTACCAGAATCACAGACTTCAGCAGAATGGAGGGAATAGAAAGGGAGGCAGGAGGCTTACCTGTCTATGAACTAGCACGGTGCTGTAATTCCTTCTTGTTTTCACATATTGTCACAGAGTAATGCTTGGAGCATGTGACTTTGGACTTCTGCTGCTTTAAAAGGCCCGGTGGCTTTCCAACCAAATCCTTAGATTCTATGGGTGTGTTTGTCTAATAAATTCTTTTTGTAATGATTTCTTGTTTAATTATTCCTTTCTATTAGCAAACTTTTTAATAATTTTATAATTATCAGAGGATGTATATATGTAAAGCCCCTCCCCCCACCAGCTAGCACTCACAAATAAAGAGTATTTCTACCCTAACACTGCTTTCTTAAGCCATCCTTTTCAGACCCGTGCTAAGTATACACAGAATGGCTACATTTGCAGGCAGTATATACAGGCACATTTATGTGGTTTGTAGCATGTCAGTGCTGTATTCCTCTTCATGACTGAATAATATTCCACTGTATGGCTATACCACCTTTTGTTTATCCATTCATCAGTTGATAGACATTTAGGTTGTTTCCACATTTTAGCTAATGTCATAGCATAAGCAAAGTATCCTCACAAAATTTTGATTAGTGGCTACTAATTAAATTGATACCAACCTATCAGCTTTCTAGGACATTAACTTCCTAGCCTTACTTTATAAGTTCTTAATACCCCCCAAAGTGCTGAGTCAATAATTTTTCAGACTTGGGCCCATCTGCTGGTCATAGATTTATCATGTTAACAATGACAATTTAATTTTTTTATTCTTGTTGCTGTTGTTGTTGTTTTTGTTTTGTTTTTGACTGGTAAGCGTATCGCAACCCCCGGCACGGTGTGTTCTGCACCATGCTCAGCCAGTGAGCGCACTGGCCATCCCTATATAGGATCCGAACTTGTTTAATTATTCCTTTCTATTAGCAAACTTTTTAATAATTTTATAATTATCAGAGGATGTATATATGTAAAGCCCCTCCCCCCACCAGCTAGCACTCACAAATAAAGAGTATTTCTACCCTAACACTGCTTTCTTAAGCCATCCTTTTCAGACCCGTGCTAAGTATACACAGAATGGCTACATTTGCAGGCAGTATATACAGGCACATTTATGTGGTTTGTAGCATGTCAGTGCTGTATTCCTCTTCATGACTGAATAATATTCCACTGTATGGCTATACCACCTTTTGTTTATCCATTCATCAGTTGATAGACATTTAGGTTGTTTCCACATTTTAGCTAATGTCATAGCATAAGCAAAGTATCCTCACAAAATTTTGATTAGTGGCTACTAATTAAATTGATACCAACCTATCAGCTTTCTAGGACATTAACTTCCTAGCCTTACTTTATAAGTTCTTAATACCCCCCAAAGTGCTGAGTCAATAATTTTTCAGACTTGGGCCCATCTGCTGGTCATAGATTTATCGTGTTAACAATGACAATTTAATTTTTTTATTCTTGTTGCTGTTGTTGTTGTTTTTGTTTTGTTTTTGACTGGTAAGCGTATCGCAACCCCCGGCACGGTGTGTTCTGCACCATGCTCAGCCAGTGAGCGCACTGGCCATCCCTATATAGGATCCGAACTCGCAGCCTTGGCACTACCAGCGCCGCACTCTCCCGAGTGAGCCATGGGGCCGGCCCAACAATGACCATTTTAAATCTCCACTTGAAACCACACAGTCAGGGAGCTGAGTGGAGAACATTTCTTACATTGAGAGAACTCCAATCCATTTTATGGGCACAGATTAATATAGTGTGTCTGGTTTTTTAGAAATAACTCTTAAGAACTGATTTAGCTAGCTTTCAAAATTAGGAGTAGGGATAACATAAAAAATTCTTCAATAAATGCTAAATATGTTTAAAAGCACACCTTTATCATATGATTGGTTGAAGGGAAGCATCTAAGACCCTAAGGGCAAGTAGGAGAACACATTTAGGGAAAGAAAAATGGAGAAAGAGAAACAGAAAGTGCTCCAGAGCTGGAGGAAAACTCAAAAGGGGTGGAGACAAAGGTAGAGAGCCACAGAGACACTCAGGTTCCCTTCTGGGGTGTCAGCCAGGGAAAGCCACTGCCACCACACCTAACCCTTCCTGGTTCCCTTGGGCTGTGAGTTGCAAGGACTACAGGTGAGGTAGGACAGCGTAGCGCTCAAACTGTGGCCCCTGGCCTCAGAACGGCTGGGTTCAAAGCTACTTCCACCCCTCAGTGGATACGTGACCTTGGCAAGTTATCAATGACATTGTGCCTCAGTTTCTTCACAATGCCCACCTCAGAGGACAAGGGAAAAGACATGAGAACTTATGTGGAGTGCACGTAGCTTAGTGCCCAGCACAATGATGGTAGTTACTCCAGTTGATGTGAGAAAAGACATTAAAGATGCTGTACCTAGCCCAACCACCTTGTTTAAAGGAAAAGAATTTTTTGTAGTGTAATAAATATTCAGAAAATGGAATATATCAGATATGTACAGCTTGGTACATTTTCAAAATGAAACACCCATATAACCAGCATCCAGATCAAGAAACAGAATCTCACCAGCACCCCAGAACCCTTTGTGTCCCTTCTACTAATTACCCTCCCCAAAGGTAACCACTATCCTGACTTCTAACACCACGGATTAGTTGTGTCTGGTTTTTTTCTTTTAATTATAAAAACTGAATCATGTAATAGGAACTCTTTCATGTCTGGCTTTTTTTTTTTTTGCTTAACATTGAGTTTCATTCATGCTGTTTCATATAGTTGTGGATTTTTTATTCCTATTACTGTTGGTATTTTACTGTAATATGAATGCCATAACTTATTTATCCATTTTTTTGTTAATGGGTAATTAAATACTTTCTAGTTTGGGGCTATTATGATCAAACAGTCTTGCTCATGTCTTTTGGTAAATATGTCTTCATATTTCCATTGGTAATCTATCT